CCCCAGGTCAGCCCGGCGCCAGGCCACGCGTGGGGCACCCAGGGGCACCCCGCCCCCGCCCCCCCACGCCCCTGCCTCTCCCCCGTCGCACCAGGCTTGGGTGGGGGGCCCGGGGAGCCCCGAGGGAGCCCTGAGCTAGCAGCCTGGGGCTGGGGCCGGGCCCCCACCCACGCCCTTGAGGGCACAGGAGGCCGGGTGGCCGCTCCCTGTGTTGTGAAGACCAGCGCGGGACGGTGCGTGTGGCCTTACCCTCACTGTGGCAACGCGTGCCGGATGGCGTGGACAGGGGACGGCCGACAGACCGCGCCGGCCTCCCCCTCCTCGGCCCCTCGCCAGCGAGCCGAGACCCTCCGGCCCGTCCTCCAAGTCTAAGCGACCTGCGTCCGGGGCTCCCCTCGGCCCCCGTGCCCGGCGACCCGGCGTCCAAGGTGGCCAGGGGCCAGCGCCCCTCCCGAGTCCGGGGAAGCTCAGAGGCCGGCGGGCTCTCGGGGCGCCTGGCCGGGGCGCGGGGTCCCAGGAGCTCCCCGCACTGCCCTTGACTGCCCTGGTCCCGCCTCCCGGGCCCCTGCAGGCAGGAGAGCCCGCGGCTGCTGCCTGACCGCGCCGCTGACGTGTTCTCCCCAAATCTGGTGGCTGAGGGGCCGGGGGCATTCGGCCTCATCGGCGTGGGGGCGCTGGTGGGCCACGGCGTGGCGGGGAGTGGCTGGTTTTCTGAGGGGCGACAAGGGGACTCGAGGAGGGGGAGCCCCAGGACAGCCCCAGGACGCTGGGGCCAGGCCTGCTCTGAACCGGTGCCCAAGGCTGTGCCCGGGCCAGGGCACGCCCCTCTCTGGCGGGGCTGGTGAGCGGGCAGCGTGCCTCGAGGTGAATGAGATGGGGAGGACCCGCGGGGGACGCCGGGCAGCCCCGGGCATAGGAAGGGAAAGGACGGGGTCCACGCGTGACACCCCCAGGCCCAGGAGCGCAGGGCAGCCGGAGGGGGCGGAGGTACCCCAGCCCAGAATACTGCTCCGAGGCGCGCGGCCCGTCCCTGGCCAGGGTCGGGGCGGGGCCCGAGGGGAAGAGACCAGCCAGCGTGGCCGGGAGGCGGGAGGGGCTGCCGCGCCCTGGGGCCCCTCGGGCCGGGCCTAGCCTGCTGCAGCGGCTACACGGCTGCAGGTCTCGCTGTGGCCTGGCCGCGCCAGGGAGCCCACGTCTGTCATGCGCAGACGCTCAGCCGTCCTTCCCTCAGCGAGGCCGTCTCGTGGCGACTGGCCACTTCACACGCCCTGGGCTCGCGTCTTCGCGGCCTCTGTGGCCGGTCCCGGCAGTCCTCGCCCCGGGGGTCTTCCTGAGGGACCTTCGCTACTGCTGTTTCTCCCGCGAGTGCTTGGCAGCGGCCCAGAGCGTGAAGCGGGGCCCTGGGGCCTCTAAAGGAGGGTGCCGCTGTCGTCCGTGGTCACTACACACACACAAAGCTGTCCGGTCGGTCAGTGCTGCTTGAGCGAGCCTGGGTATTTTAAGGCTTTCGGGAACTTGCGGGTTTCGTGCAGGCGGTGCACGAGCTTGCGCTGATGCCGGCGGTGCCTGCCGCCCCCGGCCGAGGCCCTCGCGACGCACCTGCTTTCCTTGCGGACACTCGTGTCTCTCCTGTAAGTCCAGCCGAGGTCCCCAAGCTGTGTTCTCAAAGCACCTGCTTTTGGCTTCAGAGCTTTTTCTCTCGTTTCTGCTCTGCGTTTTGTTACTTTTCTCGAATTGTGTTCGCCTGTATTTCTGGCTTCGAGTGAGGGTCAGGTCAGCCTTCAGGCCGTCCTTCTCGGAGTTCTCTGCCTCTGAGCCAGAGTCCCGCGCCTCCCTCCGCCTTCACCTGGCTCGGAGGGGGCTTCACTCCCGCCCCTGGTCTCTTCCAGACCGACCTGCGGTACCTGAAGTGTCGTGAGCTTCCAGCTACGCGGATCTACTTACCTGCCGTTGACTTGTGGGTTAACTGCTGCGGCCAGGCCGTGCGCTCGGTCTGATCCAGCCCTTCCCCTCGCTGAGGCTTTCTGGTGGTCTGACTCTCGCCGATCCCGAGTGGCCCACGCACAGCACAGAAACGGCTCTAGCGTGAGGGCGCGAGTCCTGTGGACACCGGCCAGTCACAGTGAGAGTCCGTTGGGCTCGTCCGCATCTTTGAGGACTCCCCTTTTTTTTTTTAATTTTTTTTAAAGATTTATTTATTTATGGATACAGAACTGGGTACAGGCCAGAGGTGCAGGGGTGGTGAGAGGATTCACCACACAGAAAGCGGGGAGCAGAACAGGCAGATCCATGATGCACACTGCTGAGGGGAGCAGCGGGCGGTCAGGAGAGGTCTGCTGCGCCATGGGGTCACCTCCGGGGCCGGCGGGGATCGAACGCATGCGGAAGTGGCTTGAGCTTCTCAGTGCTGCGCTTTAACCCGCTGCGCCACCAGGGAGGGCCCTGAGGACTCCTCTCTAGCGAGTTGAGGGGCCGAAATCTTGACTGTGTAGACCCGGCCGTTCGCCCTCCCGCTGTGTGAGCTCTCCCGCGTGGCACGCGGGCACTGGAGACCGCCACGTCACGTGGGTGGCCGGGCCCAAGCCGTCCAGGTGATTCCCGCCCCGGGTAGAGCGTGTGTTCTGCATGTACCGCTGGGCATTAAGGTAGCCGCTCGGTTGCTGGCGTTAGTGTTGACACGGCTGTCTCTCCCCACTCACGTTTTTAGTCAATTCATGTCTATTAGACCCCAAGCCTACTTCTGGGGGCGCACGGGCTCTTTCACCCCTCTGAGAACTGCTCCGCGGCTGCGGCACCAGGCCGTGCCCTTAACGAGACCTGAGCTGACGCGCTCTGAGCTGCCATCCTGCAGTTCGCCGTCGCGTCTCTTCTGTCCGCCACCCTGTCTCTGCCCTCAGGGGCCTCGCGCCTTCTTCACGACTCCGTCTGATCTCCTTGAGGCTCTGTTAGCTTATGGTTTTCGTTCAGTGCCTGGTTTTCTGTTGTTTTTTCGTAATGGCTTTAGCACATGACATCACCACACTATAAAACAAGATTTTACATTTTTTTCCCTTTTCTGGTATTTTGTCCCATGTCTTACTTCCGCGCTTTCTGTTTTCAGACCCCACAGTGTATTCTTAATTTCACTTCGAACTTGAAACACGCCCTGTGCCCACGTACCCAGCCCCGGTGCCAGGGCTGCCGCGTGGCCGTCCCGTGTGCCCGGAGGCCTCCTGCTTGCAAGCTTCCCCCGACGTCCCACATGCAGTTCTGCCTTGGTGAATTCTTTGCGGTCTTGTGTGTACGGGAAGGATTTTGTTTCACTTTCAGGTTTTCGGCCGCTTCCTCCGGGCCTGGAGTTCCGGCCGACAGTGCTCTTTTCTTGTGCGGCCTCAGCACGCCGCTCCACGGTGGCTGCCCGGCGTTGCTTCCGACTAGAAGTAGCCTCTGGGTCTCCAGACCGTTGCGTAGGGCGTCTGTTTCCTCTGGCTGCTTTTACTGTTTCTTTCGTCGGTTCAGGGAACTCCATTTCGACGTGACTCGCGAGTTGCTTCGGCGTCTGGCGTGGCTCGGCACTCACCGCGGCTCGTGGGTCTCCAGACCTACCGTTCGCTCGGTGTTCGGAAGCCTCAGGCTGTCTCCTGAGGACCTTCCTGTCCGCGCCCTCCCCGGGGAGGACTCGTGGGCCACCGAGTGTCCTGGGCTCGGTGCGGCTCGGTGCCGCTGATTTCCGGGTTCCCTCCACCTGAGCTCCGTGCTGTGGGCGGTTCTTCTTGCCAAGCCTGCGCGGTCACCGCAGGCCTCGGCCTGCCCACACACTGCTGAGCCCATCCGCTGGGGCGGCTCTCATCGCAAACACCGCTCCCCTCTCGTTAAAGCTCCCAGGCCTCCCCTTCTCACCTCACGTTTCGGTCTTCCGGACTTTGGCCAGATACCGATGCTAAAGACACGTCGGACTCCAGAAGCTAGCTCCCCGTGCCCGCGAACTGTACCCCAGAGTCACTTCGCTGTCATCTGCCCCGTGGGCTCTTCTGCGCGAGGGGCCCACACTTGCCGTGGGCACGCCCATTCCTTCCTGGACATCCACTGCCAGCTTCACCTTGCTGGATGCCGGTAGCGCTGTGCTTTGAGATACCTGGGAGCCTTGTCCTGAGACCCACTACGTGGTCTGCAACGACGCGGTCCCCCTGAAGACTGCTTTCCGGCTTTGCCAGAGCCAGAGCGCCCCTGGGGCCGATCCCCGCGGAGCGCGGTGGCACGGAATGGCTGCCACTCAGCTGGTGACAGAGGGCCCGGCTCGGGCCCTGGCTCCAAGCTCCCTCTGCCCCTCGGCCGCTTCCGCCCCGCGCACCGATCCTTCAAGCGAGCGACACCCCGCCGGGGCTCTGCAAACCTCCGGAGCGCCCCGCTCCTGGGCCGCGCTTCCCGCCTGCTCCAGCCACCATGGCCCCCCAGACTTCCCGGCCCACACGCTCAGCTCACGGGGACCCCGCACTCTCTAGGGGTCCTCCCCCGACTGGAGCGGGAGCCGGACATCGGAGACCGGCCCTGCGGCTGGCTGGCTGGTTTCCACCACCGGGCCGGGCGCTGCGGCCCACGGCCTGAGCCTCGCGTCTGTGAACCTCCCGGTTGTTTGAGCTGCTCCGGGCGGGCGCGCGGGCCAGCTCGCTCCTCCGTCCGAGTGGGGACACTGGTACCGCGTCCGTCTTTTTCAGGGTGTGGGGCCGCTGACCGAGCGCAGCGGGGCTGTGGGGGCACTCGAGCGCTGCGGCCTGACCAGCGTCTTACGGGAGGCCGTCGGTGACCGAAGCCTCCGCACGGCACAGCGCAGCCCCTCGCTGCTGCGAGGTCCCTAGTGATGCGTCAGGCCGGAGCAGGAGCGGAGGCCGCGG